ATATATATATATATATATATATATATATATATATATATATATATGATTTTAGATTTGTGAAGAATTAGTGAGTCATACAAACAACTGGATAACTGGTTGGGATGATAACAGCGATACTCCCTACGCAGTTGATAATGATCACGTCATAATGTATGATAACCCAAGAAGTTTAAAAGCGAAGGTTAATTAATATCTATCACGATATATCTATCATGATAACGTACACTTTAGTTTTATAATGTTCTTCTTCAGGTTGAACACGCAATGAGCTTGAATTTAGCCGGTGTAATGATATGGAGTATCGATACCGACGATTTTAATGGAAAGTGTGCCTCTTTGAAAGACTCTCTAGACAGAACTGAAATTACATATCCTTTACTAAGATCGATCAACGTGGTTCTATCTCAAAATGGTAATAACAACGATAATGGAAACAAAAATGTTGATAACAACAATGGTAAGAATGACGATGGCAACAGAGGCAATAACTCATCTTCAATCGCAAGATTCTCTTATAGTTTTATTTTAATAACATTAACATCTTTCATATATTACATTTGAAGCAAATTCGTAATGGCTGAAAAGATCGTACCAAAAAAAATTTCGTAAATATTCGATATATTCCAAGAACTGATTTTTTCAGTTGTTTTAGCTCAATCGAAAATGTTCCTCTCAAATGCCTGTCCATTTTTACGTTTATGCTAACCGATTGTAATAAGTATAATATACAAAATATCACGCTGTTTATACTAATCGCACGTTGTTATAATTAATTGTGTATATAGAAATGAAGAAATTTTCTATTTGAATAAATAAAAATATACGAAAAATAAATTTAAAATACTTTTCCCTGAAAGTATTTTTTCTTCGGAAGCTAATTCGTCAGGATATCTTAATATAATATAATTTAAAAAATATATAATATAATATATAATAAAAAATAAAATAAAATCTTTAATATAACTTACCGCATATTTCGCCATTTCCTTCAGCATATGATTCACTCGTGCCATTTATTGGAGAATTTATTTTCAACCAACTCTCTCTGCACAAGTGATAATTTCAAATTTGTTTCGACGAACATGTGAAGAGCAGTCCTCCGAGAGCGAAGTTTTACGCAATTATTGCAGAAATATGAAACAAAGTAGCTAGAAAATATAGCATAACAACATATGTTACATATCATAATAATATATAACGTAATAATGCAATAATTACCAATAATATTGTAGTAATTTGATGCACGTTCGCACAGTTTCGCACTTTCAGAAATACAGTAAGATCTTCGAGAATCGAAATTTCAAGATTTTCGATTGCGTTCGAGATTAATCGAGGGAACAAATGTCTGAAGAAATTAAATATCTCTAGATGGGGAATCTAGAGATCAATAGGGACTAGTTTTTACAGAGCAAGCTTGTCGACTGTCCGAACTCAGACTTCAACCGAATGACATTTTAAACTGTTTCAAACTTATAAGAAAACATGGCGCTTCTTAATAAAGCTGATTGGCATACTCCAGCTCCTTTCTGGCAAAATGGTCCGGCACCAGGTGCCTTTTATCATTTCCCTGGAGGTTCTACACACGTTGACGCTGGGGGATTTCAAAGATCACAGTAAAAATACTTTGTTATATATTCGTTTTGCCTTAGAATGTTTCTTTTGAAAATTGCATGTCATCCCTTTCATAAAAATTAAAAACTATATGCAAGTAATTAAAGTATTTACGCAATCGATAATCCAATAAAATAAAGATTTTCTGGGAAATGTAATATTGGATCATATTAATAATTGTTTAATATAGTTGTTTTGATCTCACCAACCTACTTGAGTTTATTTTCGTGCAAGCTAAATTCTGTTTTATTACTTCACAGAGCCCCTATAACAACTGGTACATCCGTGGTAGGAATTCAATTTAAAGATGGTGTTCTTATAGCAGCAGATATTCTTGGATCTTATGGATCACTGGCTAGATTCAGAAATCTTGAGCGTGTGATGAAAGTTAATGACAATATTATATTGGGCGCAGGTGGAGATTATGCTGATTACCAATGTCTGAAAAGTAACATTGAAAGAAAAATGTATGTTTTATATATATATTTAATTATTATTTTATAACAATTTTGATTTTATTTTTTTATTCTATACAGTCTAGAAGAAGAGTGTTTAGATGATGGTTTATCTTTGAAACCAAAAGCTCTTCATTGTTGGTTAACTCGAGTGATGTATAATAGAAGATCACATTTTGATCCATTTTGGAATAACTTCATTATTGGTGGTTTGGAGGATGATAAAGTGTAAGTATATTATCTTTCTTATTTTGATATATGTGCATAATATTTTTAATTCTCTATATAGATTTTTGGGTACCGTGGATAAACTTGGTACAGCTTATAGTGATCCAGTGATAGCAACGGGATATGGTGCATATATGGCAACACCTATCTTAAGAAAAGCTTATGAGGAAAACAAAGAAATGACTAAAAACCAAGCAATTGAGCTTTTATACAAAGTGATGCAAGTTCTTTTTTATAGAGATGCACGATCTTTCCCGAAAGTAAGTTACATAAGTAGAATTCTGTATTTGAATCTTGCATATTTTTTTATATATTTGATATTATATATTATAAGAAAAATTTAACTTTCTCAATTTTTAGTATCAACTTGGAATAATCACAAGAGAGGAAGGTGTTGAAATACAAGGACCGTTGACTTTAGATAGTTACTGGGGACCTGCCATTATGTAAAGATAAATATAAATAAATTTTTCCTAATAAAAAATATTTACAATATGATCCTGTTAAACGAATTTTCATTGTACAACCTTTCATCACAAGATATATTTGAGGCAATAAATAAATTTACAAGATTAACAAGTCAATACATCACAGCCAATATCAGTAATCAAAATAGTATGTTCACATTGAGCAGTTCGTGCATTATCCACTGTAACAGCTGTCCACCCGTCCTTTAAAATTTTAACTTCTTCACTACCTTGACTTAAAACTGGTTCAATAGTAAATGTCATTCCAGGTAGCATTTTCCCATCAAAGTTATTTGCTAATAGCAATATAAAATATACAATATGGAAACAGTATATTTATATATTATTTCATAAAAATAACATACCAAAATGAAAAATATCTGGTGGTCCATGAAAGTAAGTACCTATGCCATGTCCTGCAAATATTGGTACTATAGAATATCCATTTTTATTTGCTGTTTCTTCTATAATATTACCTAAAAATTAAAAAGAATATAAAAACCTTTTATCATTCAGATTACAATAATCATTACCTATACTAGAGAAATTTTCATTAGGTTTACAAATATCAATAGCATTTTTTAAGCACAATTCTGTTACACTTATTAATCGTTTTGCTTCATCATCACATTCTTCTATTTCAAACATTTTTGAACAATCTCCATGATAACCATGTAAATATACCTAAAAAGAAATAAAATATTATTTTTGTTTATATTTATAAATACAAGAATGTATGTGTAATACATCACAATACTATATATTATTTCTACTAACTGTGACATCAACATTTAATATATCTCCTTTTGCTAATGGCCTTTTATCTGGAATTCCATGGCACGCAACATTATTAATACTAGTGCATATTGACTTTGGAAATCCTTTATAATTAAGTGGACTAGGATAAGCCCCATTACTTATAATTATTTCATGAACTATTGCATCTAATTCATCTGTAGTCACACCAGGCTAATACAAAAGTTATAAATTAAATGGTACTGTTAGCTAAATTTCATCTTGTTTGTTACATCTTATATACCTTTATGTATTGTTTAATATGAGTTAATATTTTTTTAGCAAAACTACAACTATCTCTCATACTTTGTATTTGATTTTTATCTTTAATTTCAGGGTTTTTTGGACCATGACAAGGTACTGAAGATTGACTGTAAGATGGTTTAGGAATATACGGCGGTACTTCTCTAATTTTTGAAACTTCCCATGGCATAATAATCTCATAATTTCCAAAAGAACTATTGACAACTTTATGTGGTATTGTCTACAAAAATTATTACACTGAATAGCGATTTGACGGTATGCAAAAAAAATTTATTTTCTTGAGATAAACGTACCTTAGATTTACTTTTAAAAAAGTTTCTAAGAAACATTTCTGTAATATTTATATAATTATATAATTTCGTTTTTATGATTTTATTATATTTATAATTTTCATTTTCTTTCCACAGAAAGGTCTGTCAGATTATAAGATTATGAAGTTTGTGTAAATTTATACACTTTTAAATTGATGAACTGAAAAAATCCTGAAACGACGTGACATCATTTAATACATAGAAATCAGCTAATACACGCATTATTTGAGAAAATAACCTTCAATAAACTACATTCACGAACCATGAATACTACTATGAAATCGTTCCGTCAAGTACTCGCAGATGCGAAGAACGTGTTGATATTAACTGGTAGTGGAATTTCTGCAGAATCTGGTATTCCAACATTTAGAGGTGCTGGTGGTTTTTGGAGAAAATATCAAGCTCAAAATCTTGCTACTCCAGAAGCATTTGTAGCGAACCCCTCTTTGGTTTGGGAATTTTACGAATATCGTAGAAGAGTGGCAAGCGAAGCTAAACCTAATAAGGTATTTTAAGAATTACATTTTTGAGTTCTAATCTTTTAAAAATTATTTGTACTTTAAATGAAGTTTGTAGGCCCATGAAACAATCGCAGCTTTTCAAAATCGCTATTTAAAAGAGGGTAAAAATGTTGTGATTGTGACACAAAATATTGATGAACTTCATCAAAGAGCAGGAGCTAAGGATGTTGTGGAGCTTCATGGTTCATTGTATAAAACACGTTGTACAATTTGTAACGAAGTTGCTGTAAATAAAAATATTCCAATATGTTCCGCATTAGAGGGGAAAGGGTAAGATCTTTTTTTTATATCTTTTTATAAATTTCATTAATATAAATATAAATAGGTTACCAGATCCAAATATTACGACTTCTGATATCCCAAAAGAAGATTTACCTAAATGTGACAAAGAAAATTGCAAAGGTTTATTAAGGCCTCACATTGTATGGTTTGGTGAAAATTTAAATGAATATATATTGGAGCAAGCTTGTAAGTATTTTTAAAAAAATAGTATCTATACATTTTAAATTTTAATACTGACATATATGTAACATTTAAATAAAATATTTTTCAATAAAATAACGTTATCTTTTTATTAAAATATTAGATACTGCTGTTGAAAACTGTGATGTTTGCTTAGTTATTGGTACTTCATCTATAGTGTATCCAGCGGCAATGTTTGCACCGCAAGTAGCACAACATGGAATTCCCGTCGCTGAATTTAATTTAGAAATAACTCCTGCTACGAGACATTTCAAGTAAGTTAAAATAAAAAATTATATGCATACATATATAATATAGTGTAAAAAAATATCAATATCTTATTTAAAATACTTCTGCTTATATTAAATATAATAATATATGTATTCATTAGACTTCTGCATTTAGTCATTGATCAAATTTAATCATCAGACTTCTGTTTCTTACGCGAATTCCTTGCATGATTTTTATCTGCAATAAAATAACATAATATACATTATTTAAAGGTACCATTTTCAAGGTCCCTGCACTATTACTGTGACAGAAGCTTTAGAACCTTAAGTCTCAAAAATCAAATGGATATTACCTTGTACTAGACACACTTCGGTATTAAGTTCGAGTTGATGTAGATACTCCAACCATAATCGTTGTTTGATTGAAAGGACATCTCGAGGACCCTTTACTTCTATAATTTTATGCTTTGGGGAAAGATTTTATTTATAATTAAAAAAAACATACCTTGTACAAAATATTTAAAAAATATATCTTATAAAAATATATTTCTAAGAAAATTTATAAAACTTTTAGTTTAAAAACTAAAATTTTAATACTTTACTATAATTAGTGTTATTAAATAAATACTCACTTCTTTAGTATCATAATTCCATACAATTAAATCTGGAAATCCAGCTCTCCAGAGTTTGAAATTATCAATAAGTCGTTTACAAATACCTATTACACCCCGAGTTCCCAAACAGTGTACTATTTGCTAAAATAATCTTTCACTGTTAATTATAAAGTTTTATAATATAAAGATAATAAAGAAATAGAATCAATAAAATACACACCTTCAATTGTGAATCATCCTTTATTATGTTTGATAACATTATTGATTGATATTGTTTAAGTACCGCGAATTTTTCTTCCATCAAAGAACTTAATAATTCAGAATTTAAATTATCAAGAAATTGCAGTTTCTTATCTATTCCTTCTTTCCGATTTGTATAAAATTCTGTTGTAAATAAATCATTTGGAGCTTCTTCATATGGCGTTGAGAATGCTCCAGGAACATGCTTATCATATAATTCTTCCCAAAACAAAGTACAAAATAGAATATTCGGTAATGCACCTTCACAATGCAATCCATCAGAGAATCCTTGCTTCTGATAATAATAAAATGCAACAGCTTCTACTGATCCATAACTTTGACTTTCAGTATTGCTTTCTATACACCACTTACTTTTATTGCCTACAGCATCGCTGAAACAATTTAATGTCACTTTATATTTTAAAATAAAAAATGTAATACATATGTAATTAAATTTACCTTGGCATTGCTGTGGCATGTACAATGATAGATGCTGCTTCATATTTTGGCATATAATGAACATGACTATCTAATATTTCACTAAGAGAATGTTTCGTGGTTATTTCGATTCCATTTTTCTTCTTTACAATTTTGCTTGCTCTTTCTATGAGACTTACTTTATCCACTTGCGTTAAGTTTTCCGTTTTTAAAGCTTTTATTATAATGGATGCAGATGCTTCTATGTCTTTATGATGATGCATTTCAATCAGAGCTAATTCAGCAAACCATTCTCCTTTGTGTACATGCATGTGACAATTTTGCTCCAATAAAAATGATAAAATTTCTACCATTCGTTTTCTATTGTTCTTTTCATTTTCGTCTTTTTTAAATGCACATATAGATGCAGAAAGTATTTTCAACCATATATATCCTGGCATAAAACGTCTAACATGCTTAGGAAGCACAGAATCTTTTAATCTGCAAAAGTTGAAATTATTGAACACTATTTTTATTATAATGAAAGAATTTAAATTACCTGGATGATTCATGATTCAATAAATTTGGCAACATATTCATAGCTAAATTTCCATATTTTCGTACTTCTTCCCAATTTTTTTTCTCTTTACTTTGTAACATCGTAAATAATAAAGATTTAACTGTCACATAACTATAAATACAAATGCAATAAAAATTATAAAAATTTATTTTTATTTTTTAAATCTGTTGCCAATTTTTAAAAAATAGATTTACCTTGTTAAATGTACTATAGAAGAAAATATTGGAAAATAATTTTCTTTCAAATTTTTTGGATATATTATATTTCCTAAATAAACATTACATAATATGTAAAATGTATCTGCTAGGCTATTTTTGGGATCTTGATTTGGCATTAACAATGTTATTATTTTATAAATAATATTCCATGTTTCATTAGTTATGCATACACAAAAATCTAATGTATCCAAAATTAAATCATATAAAATAATTTTTGGTGATTTCATTCCAGGAAACAAAGATTTCTTATTTGACAGTTCTAATAACTTTTGTATATTACGTTTTTTGTTTCCTTTAGAATCAATGTTCATCTTCTTACAAAGTTGCTGAATTTCATTTACTTGTAATAATTTAAGTATTGTATCTAAGTTTTCTTCTTTAATATCAAAAGAACAAATAGATCGTGAAACAAGAACATCAAAAATATCTTTTAATTCTGCAGCTATTTGTGGATAATTTATTTCGCTTTTCCTAAACCACTCTTTTTTTCTTTTTATCATTCTTGCCAATAACATTTGAGCTTCTTTAGGAAGAGTGATTATAGAAAATATGAAATCAAATTCAAATTCTGTAAAATAAGCACAATTAACAGGATTATAGAGTACGATGAATATAGTAGTAAATAAGACTTTTGCATCTAAATCATCACATATATCAATATCACTTAATTTATACTTTGTTGCACGTTTACTATTTGTATTATTATACTGATATTTAAATGTACTTCTGGAATATATTTTCTCTAAATCAAAGTTATCTTGCGTTGCTAAATTCATATGTTCAATGGCTTGAGCCATAATATCAGCATCTATATTTTCACCAAAAAATCTTTTCCTTGCAATACTTCTTGGAGATTTACTGGGAGTAACAGACGACATTCTGGAAGCATAATTTGATTTTTCAGGTGTTGAGAAAGAACTATTAGGATTTCTCAATGGAGATTTATTTTTATTTGGAGTTCTCAGTTTCTTATTTAGACTTCTTTTTAAGTAAGAATTATCTTCAATAATAGGTGGTGATATTCTATGACTATTGTTTTCTGATTTACTTTCTGACATTTTCTGTGATCGTATATTAATATTATCTGGTGATACTTGTGGATTAAAATTTGGAAAATTTTTTGATATCATCAATGAATCTTCATTTTCAGTTGATATTTCTCTTATTCCTTGATTCATTGATAATTTGTATTTTTTGTCATTATCATACATCAACATTTGTTTTGAATTATTTGATTCATTCTGATTCAATGCTTGAACATTACTTTTAAACGTTTCTGTATTATTTAAATTATCATTCAGATTGTCATATATAATTATACAATCTGATTCACATTTTTTAATTTCTGACAATGAAACATTTTGTTTTTCATTTTCCTTTTTCTTTTTCTACAAAAATAAAAAAACTAATGCAATATACATTACATAAATATATTTAAAAAATTTACAAAATATTGAAATTAAATGATGAAAAAAAAGAAAGAAAATAACTAACCATCTTTGAATAAGGCTCACTTCTTGATCTAGAAAGTTTTTTAACATTCGTCACATAAGAATTTCCTTTGTGGTTTGATTTATAAAATTGATCAATACGTGTTTGCTGCGACATTATTTTATACTTTTCTCACAATTACATTCTTCTTTTAAATATTATTGTTCAAGTTAACTATTGAAGATTGATTTCTCACCTAAAAAAACAGTAAATATTCATTTCTCACATTAAAAAACAGTAAATATTCATTTCTCACATAAAAAAACAGTATAATATCAAAAAACTAACTTTAATAGTAACTTTACAACATTAATAAATATTTCTGTTTCAAATGTACATGTATTAATTTCTTTAGTTTTATTAATAAAGAAATGTAGAAAACAATTAAACTCGTATTATCATTTGTATGATTCACATCCATATCACACAATTCTTTCATACCATCCTCGAAGCTAAGTAAGTCCCTAGATGAAATTCAGGTGCAATTGGTTATTTTTTATGGATCTAATATAATTATAAAGATTATAAAGATTAAGATATATTAAGATATATATTACTTGGAAATGAATTTGTGTAGCAACATGTGGCAGTGAATAGTACTTCTCTTACCTTTGTTCCATGAGATTTCTTTCGAACATCGTATTATAAAGAGACATGATCATAAGTTATAGAAAACACGTGTTCCGAATTCTGAGTAACAGCAGTCTTCTATTTTCACGCATTATTTTCTTCTTTAAGACGAAAGTGAAGAAGAAATAATGCTGTCCTCTTTCTGAATTCTACTTTTATACATTATGCATACATAAAAAACCTCGAATCAAGTAAAGTTCCATTCATGAACAGCATTGTGCTAGAAAATTAAATTATTTATCAATATAAATATAAATATCATATGTATCACATATAAAAATTTATGTAAATCGTGTACATACACATACATACATTACTAAAAAAAACTTAATAACATGACCAAGACATTATATTAATAAAATATCAATGTTTTCCGTCATATTTATCCATATTATTTATAGGCATGCATGTATAATTTCACCATAAAAAGGAATTTCCTACTTGGTTCTTTTTAAATTTAATATGCTTATATTAAACATAATTGTATAATTTAGTATTAATGAAGGATCAAGTACAGCAATAAGTTCACTTAATCAGAGTTACAAATATTTAAATACAAAATTCTACAAGACCAAAACGCCTGTAAGAAACACATTTAATTTGTAATTTTTGTATATTTTACGAAAATCGATGTAATAATAACTATATAAATAAAGAAAACACTGTTCATATTTACAAGCATTTTTATTAGATTGTCCTGAATCCTGGCATATAACCTTCAGTGATGAAAAACGAATTTGAAAATTTGCAAGAACAAATTCTGTAAATAAAAAAATTTTTGAAACATAAAAAGAATTCTATTTTCAAAATTCTATATAGAATAATCGCAAATAATATAAATATGATATTGACAAAAAAAAAAGATAAACCTATGCAACATATATTTTTAAAAATACACAAAGAAAATGTAACCTATCTGACTATTTCTTTCAAGTTCTTCAAGCAAGGATTATACACAAACATTGTTGTAAATGAATTTTATTTTACAACTATTCTCAGCGAAGAAATCGAATAAAGAAATTTAATTTTCACACAATATAATCAGAATTTATTTTGAAATATTTGCCTCTTTAAATTTTGTCAAATTTATGTTCGTTACGAACGTTTCTTTTGTTAATATTATGAATGAAATGCAACTGTATATTGCTCTTTTTTACTTGCTACAATTTGGAAAATAAATCATTTATTACATAGTTTAAGTTAGCATAACAAATAGTTTTTTTGTATAATGCGTAAGATATTCATTGTAATATAAATACAACAGTTAAATGAAATAAAATATAAATTTCAATCTATTAAAATGAATAATATAGAAGACATTATGACGCATACGTACATATATTTTAGCCTGACAAACTATTTCTTT